GACGGAATTTTTTTTTTTTTAAATAAAAATTAAATTCCGTCGAAAATCCGTCGGAAATTTAAAAAAATGTTATAATTTTAATTTTTTTTCAAGTTTAAGTTATTATGAACTTTTTTTTATCAAATATTACCAACGGAGTAGTCGTATGTTCAGTTACATTTAATGGATCTATTGGCTTTATTCAGTTCAATTGGACTTTTATATGTATTATTGGGTTTTGGTGGAATTTAATGAATCTTAGTGGATATTTTTGGGTTCAAATAGGTTTAAATGGAGCTATCGGATCTTATTCGGTTCAATTTGGCATTAACGGGTACTAATTGGGTCTTATTTGGTTCAATTGGGTTTTAATGAATCCATTGGCTTTAATGGATCTTAATGGACTTTAATAGATCTATTAGGCTTTAATGGAGCTATTGGGTCTTATTCAGTTGAATTGGGTATTAACGGGTTCAATTAGGATTTAACAGGTACTACTGGGCTTTATTCGGTTCAATTGCTCATTAACGGGTATATTGAGCTTTATTCGGTTCAACTGGGCTTTAATGGATTTTAGTGGACTTTTATAGGTACTATTTGATTCAACTAGGCTTTAATGGAGCTAATAGGTTTTATTCGGTTCAATTGGGTTTTAATGAATCTATTGAATTTTATTCGGTTCAACTGGGCTTTAATGGATCTTAGTGGACTTTAACATGTACTATTTGGTTCAACTAGACTTTAATGGAGCTAATAGGTCTTATTTGGTTCAATTGGGCATTAACGGAAGGTTTGAAAATCATCATCAATAACTCAGGTTGGGCCAAAATCTCAAAACGAGTATTTTCCTCAAATGCAAGCCAAATAGGCTCTATAACTTGTTGGACTAATCCAAAATGAGACATCATAACCCAAAATGCATTTAAAGAGTTTAATAAATCTCTTGACTAAAAAACCACAAAATCCAACAAAACTGAATCATGCATATTATTCAAATGATTTATAAAATCAGTATACCAAAATTACATTGACATCACATAATCCCTAAATGAATATACTTCTCAAGATTTTATAGAACAAATCTATACTATATTATAAAGCATTTGACAAAAACTTTAAAACTCATTTTTTATGCATGAAGTACTATATATTGATGAATATTACTTAAAATTCAAGATTACAAGTAAATTATACATAAGTACAACTTATTAAAGCTCCATGTTTGAATTCATGTAACTAACTGCAGATAAACATAATCAAATAGAAGATAAACATCTTATTTTAAAATATAAAAAATCTAAAATATATTTAGGATAATTATCGAGTTCTAACAAAATAATTAACTATTATTTTTATAAGAAAATTATATTATTAAACCAAATATAAATTACTTCGTTATGAAACCTAAATTAAATTATAATAAAAAATTGAATTAAAAAATTATCTATACTATATTATAAAGCATTTGACAAAAACTCTTAAAAACCATTTTTATGCATGAGGTACTGTATATTGATGCATATTATTTAAAATTGAAGATTACAAATAAATTATGCATAAGTACAACTTATTAAAGCTCCATGTTTGAATTCGTGTAACTAACTGCAGATGAACATAATCAAATAGAAGATAAACATCTTATTTTAAAATATAAAAAAATCTAAAATATATTTAGGATAATTATCGAGTTCTAACAAAATAATTAACTATTATCTTTATAAGAAAAACATATTATTAAACCAAATATAAATTACTTCGTTATTGAACCTAAATTAAATTATAATAAAAAAATTGAATTAAAAAATTACACAAAAAGTAGGAATTTTAAATAGTTAATTTGATACTAATATCGATATATTTTTGTAAATTTTTTATGATATATTCAAGTTTATATTTTATTTAAAAATAAAAACATCATCGCTTTTTTAAAATCACATAAAATCATACTATAACATCGACTGAGGGGGTGTTTGGGATTGCTTATTTTAATAGCTTATTGACTTATTTCAGTCTGGCACCGGTGATAAGCTAATACCTAGTGTTTGGATAAAAAAAAAAAAAACTGCTTATACCGGTGCCAAACCGGTAATAAGCAGTTTTTGATAAGTTAATCCGTCATGACTTATGAAAAACTGCTAATTACCAGTTTACCATTTTAACCATATTACCCTTTATAGGTATCTTTTTTCCTCCAGATAACATCGATCTCAATCTTCTCCCTTCTCCATATAACAACATCAATCTTCTCTCTGTCCTTTTTGGTCATTTTACAGATATAAGCAAAATTTGTCAAACACTAAAAAACAACTTATCAGCTTATTGCAGTTTGGTACCGCTGTAAGTTAATCCAAACATTTTTTACAAAACTCCAGTTTGATACCACATAAGTTAATAAGCACTTTTACAAAAAAGCATAAGTTGTTTTAAATAAGCAATCCCAAACACCCCCTGAGATAAAGAATAAAATAAAATATTAAAATCAAGATGTATCTCGTTGTATTGCACGAGTACCCTTCTAGTATATAAAAAGATGCAATTTTATCAAGTAATCAACAATATTTGATAAATCTTAGGAAAAACACTTTAAGACTCCAAAATTTATATTTTTGGCATATATAAAGTTTTCACAAACCAACTTAACTAATTAAACAGCAATACAATTTAACAAAAACAAATGGATAAAGATAATTAAGTGTATCCTATGGATACAAATATGTACAAGATATCCAAAAACCGTATGTATCATTTTTAACGTTGGATTGACTAACAATATGAAATATATTATGTAAACAAGTGAACCCTAATGTAGTGGCTTCGGAACGACACATAGAGGGTTAGCCTTCTGTAACGTGAGCCCAAACTTCTCTGTCATGTCCATATTCCCCGGTCTAATTCCATTGTCGAGATTCCAATCAAAATTATTGAGTAACGAACCGAGCATCAAAGGAATCATACGGATTGCAAGTGGCAAACCAGGGCATATTCTTCGTCCAGCACCAAATGGAATCAGCTCAAAATCATGACCTTGGATATCAATCCCCGAGGTCAAGAATCTTTCTGGCTTGAACTCTAATGAGTCCTCCCACGTAGTTGGATCTCGTCCTATGGCCCATGCATTCACAAGTACTTGTGTGCCCTTAGGGATGGTGTAACCGTAGAGTTTCACCTGAGTCTCTAGTTTTCGAGGCACCAAGAAAGGGGCTGGCGGATGAATCCTTAACGTCTCTTTGGCAATGCCCCTTAAGTAGGGTAACCTCATGAGATCAACCTCTTCTAGAATTTTACCTTTGCCGATTGTCGTTTCGAGCTCCTCTTTGGCTTTGGCCATGGAGCACGGGTTGCGTATTAATTCGGTCAATGCCCATTCCAAAGAGCTTGAAATCGTATCGGTGCCAGCAAGAAACAAATCCTATATCATTATATGTAATAATATGTTAATCTTATTAGTAAAAATACTAGAAAATCTTCTTTTGGCCACGGAGGTTCAATACCGCATCTGGGCTATCTGCAAAGCAGGTAGTCGCCCGGGATTAGTTGGCTCGCATAACGGATTGGATATCCAAAAAAAAATACTATAAAATTAAACAATTTACGTACCAAAAACATGCTCGTGATGTGTTGCCGACTGATCTCATCAGGGTTTTCTTGAGAGATTTTTAAGCACTTGTCCAAGAAATCATCATCTTGCTTCAATCTCTTCTTCATCACCAATCTTTCTTTGATCAACTCCTCGAAAATCTCAAGAACCTTCCCAAGATGATGACTCAATCTGCTCCTGATCCTTTGTGGATCGATCTTTTTCAGTACAGGGAAAACGTCCACTAGATTTGGCTTCACAGCTTCCATCATGATGTTCCCAATCAGCTCCTTAAACTCTTGACCAGAATCCTCAAATGGGTCTGTTAAATCCTTGGAAAAGATGGTGTTTGATGCGATATTCAGGCTGGTTCTGTAAGCAGCTCGGCCGATATCCACCGTCTCATTACACTCGCTGGCTTTCCGGCAGTATGCTACAAGCTCTTGCACTTTTTGGTTCCGCAAGTGTTGGCTGGCATCAAGGGAGTCGCCGGAGAAGATATTGTTGTTGAGGATCCTGCGGAGGGTCCGCCACTGGGCGCCGACAGGCAGCGAGAAGGTAGAGTTTTGAGCGTGGTTGTGGGCGTGGAGGGAATCGAGGATTTGGCGGCTGGAGAAAGCAAGATCTTGTTTTTGGAGGACTTCTTTGGCGGCAGCGGCGGAGGAGATGACAAGTGTGTTGATGCGACCAAGTTTTAAGAACATGATTGGGCCATGGATTTTGGCTAGCTTGGCTAGGGACTGGTTTGGATGGTCGCCGAGCAAGTGCAGGTTTCCGATGATCGGAAATGGGGTTGGACCTGGAGGTAGGTTCTTGGGTCGACCGAGGCCCAAAACTGAGAAAGTGGCTTGAATAAGTGCAAACAATAAGAAGAAACCAAGAACAATAGTCACAAACTCCATTGATGTTGGATCTTCACCTTTGGTAGGATGAGAGTGGGATGCGTAGGATATCGTTTCATGTTGACTTTCACCTTTTACGTTTGCTTTTAACGTTATCGAAAAAGCAATTATGATATAATTACTTAAAACAATTTAATATTGCCATATATTTTCATTTTAATATTTTGTTTTATTTTTTTTATCTCTCTTGATATAATATGATTTATATAGTTTTGAAAAAAAAAAATTATTTTTAAATAAAAATAAATTTGAAAACATCATAAAGATTTAAAAATATATCGATATTAATATCAAATTAACTATTTAAAAGTTTTCGTTTTTTTACAATTTTTTTAATTTAATTTTTTATTATAATTTAATTTAGATAAAATAGTGAAATAATTTATTTTTGGCTTAACAATAATTTTTTTATAAAGATAATAATTCTGTTAGAACTCAATGATTATTCTAATTATATTTTAAATTTTTTATATTCAAAATGAGATGTTTATTATGTATTTAATTATGTTTACTTGCAGTTAGTTATACGAATTCAAAAATATAGCTTTAATGTTGTATTTACGCTCAATTTAATTGTAATCTTAGATTTTAAGTGATATTCATTAATACACAATATTCATACATAAAAAATGGTTTTTAAGAATTTTTGTCAAATGTTTTTATAATACTAAAAAGGTACTCGCATGATGTAGCGATATACATCTCGATTTTATTGTTTCTTTTTATTCATTCTCTATTGATATAATACAATTTTATATGGTTTTGAGAAAAAGTGATAATATTTCTATTTTTAAATAAAATATAAATTTGAAGATATTAAAATTAAAATTTTGAAAAAAAATGTCGTTATTAGTATCAAATTAACTATTTAAAAGTTTTTGTTTTTTCTGTAATTTCTTTAATTCAATTTTTTATTACAATTTAATTTATGACTAATAGTGAATCAATTTATTTTTGATTTAATAATATAATTTTTTTATAAAGATGATAATTAAGTATTATATAATTAGTTTAATAACGAATCAATTTATTTTTGGTTTTATTCACAAATATAATAATTAAGTATTATATTAGAACTCAGTAATAATCCTAAACATATTTTAGATGTTTTAATTTTTTATATATTTAAAATGTGATATCTTTCATGTATATGATTATATATATCTGCAGTTAGTTAAACGAATTCAAAAATAGAGGTTTAATAAATTCTACTCATACACAATTTATTTGTAATCCTGAATTTTAGGTAATATGCATCAATAAACAGTATTTCATGCATAAAAATAGTTTTTAAGAGTTTTATTCAAATACTTTATAATATAGTATAGATATTTTATAATTTTATCATTCCAATATATTTAAAAAAATTATATATAAAAACTAACAAATAAATCTCATTGGAAAATATTAAAATAATATTTCTTTTGAGTTTTCTCCATATTTCTTTATTTGATAATTAGAATGGTACTTGCGCAATGCAGCGAGATAAATTTTCATTTTAATATTTAATTTTTATTATTTATCTCTATCGATGTAATATAATTTTATGTGGTTTTGAGAAATCGATAATATTTTTATTTTTGAATGAAATATAAATTTGAAGATAGAATAAAAAATTTAAAAAAAAAATCGATATTAGTATTAAATTAACTATTTAATAGTTTTCATTTTTTGGTGTAACTTATTTAATTCAAATTTTTATTATAATTTAATTTAGGTATAATAACAAAGTAATTTATTTTTAATTTAATAATATAATTTTTATCAAAGATAATAATTAAACATTTGGTAAGAAACTAGATAATTATCCTAATTATATTTTAGATTTTTTATATTTTAAAATGAATTGTTTATCCTTTAATTGATTATGTTTATCCATAGATAGTTACACGAATTCAAACATGGAGCTTTAATAAGTTGTACTTGCATAATTTACTTGTAATCTTGAATTTTAAGTAATATGCATTAATATACAGTACTTTATGCATAAAAAAATGATTTTTATGAGTTTTTATCAAATGTTTTATAATATAGTATAGATTAATTAACCAACTTAATTTAAGATATCTCTTCTACGTCGACATCCTATGAAAATTAATTGCCACCGGCCACCTTCAATGTATTGACTCCATGCATTTATATTTTATTGACATTTTATAAAATATCTGAATGTTGTATAAAAATTATTTATAAAGTAAACGAACATATCACTGTCTTACATAAATTAAATTAAGACGTTATCATTAAATTAAACAGCAAATGAATCCAATAAATCTATACTGTGTTCTCGAATTTGGAAAAAAAAAAGAGAAGGAAAAAGAAAGTATTTACGTTCTCGAAAAGGAAAGTTATTAAAATTTAAAGGATTTTAATTTCTTTTCTTTCCTCTCATATTTGGAAGGAAAGTTTTGGGAGGCACAATAATTTGTTAATCAAATGAATAGTATTAATTTTACAAACTTATTTGAGCAGTTCATTTTTTTTTATTAACGATTATGATTAAATGGGGGTTATAAAATGATGAAAAAAGAAAGAAATTAAAGTGAATTAAATGAAGAAAAAATTTGGAACAAATTGTTTTTATGTTTGGAAGACAATCATATTTTTATAGGCTGTTTGTTTTTAAGTTGTTTCATCTATGAAATTCAGTTGTTCTGATTTTTTAACCAATGTTCACATGTGAAACCAGAAAGTTCATAGATGAAACAATGATTTTTGTATATAGTTCATAATGTTGTTTCATTGGTTGTTCTAATATTGTTGTCAAAGTTCAATGGTGAAACCATAGTAAATAAGATAATTAAGAAAGTTAAAACAAAATAAATGAGATAATTAAGAAATGTGATATCGATATACTAAAAAGACGAAAATACCCCTATTAATAAAGCTTGTATTAATAAGACGGTTAACAAAAGGGTCTATATATAATTTTATATATATATATATATATATATATGTGTGTGTGTGTGTGTGTGTGTGTGTGTGTGTGTATATATGGGGACGTAATCAAATGAGACCTTAATAATTTATGATAATCGTGAGATCCAATATGAATTACTGATTTAAGATAACTAATTTTATTATTAACTAAACATCAAAAGGGTAACATAGTAAATTGATATGATTTGAGAACTAATAAAATAATTTGGTATACTTCAGTCTCATGATTTTAGGATAGGTTGGTAGGCTTTTTTTTTATTTTTATATATTCAACCTGCTATATGAGCCGATTAATCTTAGAACGACTATTTGTTTTGCAGATAGTTCGGAATCATTGCATTTGAATCTCCATGGCCACAAGATGATTTTTATTCATCCTTGGATTTGAACCTAGGACCTAACTTAAACCATAAACCTAAAAAAAAATAGAGATAGCCACCATTTTAACGAACATGAAAAGCAAGAGTAAAGACCCCTGTCTCTTCATTCGCCAAATCACCAACCTACGTCATTAACCATGATCACCATCCCTTCCTCCAACGGCCGTGACGGTCGAAGCCATCTACTCCTCGCCACCATGATCACTCGGTAACTTCTACGTGATCTTCTTCATCCCTCCACGTCATCCTTAGACTACACAATTTATAAACACAAGATTTATAATTTGAATCTTAACTTTTTACAAGAATGCAGGAGATATAAACCAGATCTCGTCGTTCCACTAAAACGTCACCCACATCTCAACCCTAGATCTCTATGGGGAAATCGATGATGCACCAAATAAAACTCAAAAAGATTTGGAGACCTCGATGATGACCATAAGCTAGATCTCGAAGATACCCATATTGTAACTCTGACAGTGTGTATTTTCGAAGTGTTTCACAATGTATATTTACAAAGTGCATCACAGGTGTATCCAAAAAGTGTATCACAGTGTATATTTACAAAGTGCATCACAGGTGTATCCAAAAAGTGTATCATAGTGTCTATCTAATTACGAAATGCATCACAATGTATTAGCTAACATTGTTTTATAAAGTGTATCAAAAATATGTATTTTTATTATTTTTTGTTGTTTACACAGTGTATCACAATATACAAAATTTTGAGATGAAATATAACAATATTTTGATGTTCATAGGTAATTCACGAGTCAAGATAAGAGACGAATAGAGAGGAGAAATTAAAGGAGAGATTGGAGATAAAAAAAAAATTAAAATATCTAAAATGTCGTTTATTTATTTTAAATTAAGCTTACTATAATCATTAACATTCTATTTAACCTTTGATTTATAGTTGAGATTGAATCTCACGGATTTCACAAATACCAAGTTTTCCGTTGAATGACCTCCTATATATAGAGGTCTAATCAAATGAGAACTCGATAGTTTGTGATAACCGTAAAATCTAATGTGAGCCAATCATTTAAGCTGATCAATATTATTTCTTAAAATAAAATGAAAGGATAAATTAATAATTTGATATTCCCATTTTTGTATTTATTAAATTATTTAACAATTCTCTCTCTCTCTTTCATATTCTCGTTATGTATTATCAAAATTAACATTTGGTGTTGTGAACACATTACAAATCATGGGTATTATAGTGAGTATCAACGTGTATGCAATGGGTATCACAACGCTCGTAACTGTGAATACGTTGTAAACAATGGGTATCAACATTCATACAATGAGTATCACAATGTATATTACAACGTGTATACAATAGGTATCATAGTGTGGATATTGTATGTATCTTGTATATCATATCGAGGATTGTTTGTATTATTTTTTAACAATGACAATGTTTTTTTAAGTATCACATTCTATATCTTGTGTTGAATGGCGTTAGCCCAAATTAAGGTATGTCGGAAAAAGGTTCGTTTGAGAGAGCATAAGATTACATCTCCAATCTGGCTAGTTGAGGAGCTTTGGAACAACACAAAGAGGGTCAGCCTTGTGTAAGGTGATTCCAATTTTGTCTGTCATATCCAAATCCTCTGGTCCAATTCCATGATCAAGATTCCAATCAAAGTTATTGATTAATGAACCCAACATCATAGGAATCATACGAATTGCAAGCGGCAAACCAGGGCATATTCTTCGTCCAGCACCAAACGGAATCAACTCAAAATCACGACCTTGCACATCAATCTTAGAGGTCAAGAATCTTTCCGGCTTGAACTCCAACGAGTCCTCCCAGCTAGTTGGATCTCGTCCTATGGCCCATGCATTCACAAGTACCTGTGTGTCCTTAGGGATGGTGTAGCCATTAAGCTTGACTTCATTCTCGATTTTTCGAGGGCCCAAGAAGGGGGCGGGCGGGTGAATCCTTAAGGTCTCTTTGACAATGCACCATAAGTAGGTTAGCCTCTTCAAGTCAACCTCTTCTACAATTTTACCTTTGCCAATTACTTCTTCGAGCTCCAGTTTAGCTTTGGCCATGATGTGTGGTTTACGTATTACTTCTGTCATTGCCCATTCTACAGAGCTTGAAGTCGTATCAGTGCCAGCAAGAAACAGATCCTGTATCATCATGTGTAATAAGATGTTAACATTCAGTTGAAATCATCTTATTAGAAATACAAGAAAATTGAATAGTTTGCGTACGGATAATAAGCTCATGATGTGTGGCCGATTGATCTCATCTGGGTTCTCTTGATAGATTTTTAAGCACTTGTCCAATACATCATCTTGGTTCAATCTGTTAATCACCAATCTTTCGTTAATCAACTCCTCAAAAATCCCACGAATCTTCCCAAGATGACGAGTCATTCTCCTCCTGATCCCTTGTGGATCGATCTTTCTTAACACCGGGAAATAGTCCACCAGATTTGGCTTCCCAGCCTCCATCATGATGTTTCCAACCACCTCCTTGAATTCTTTACCAGAATCCTGAAATGGGTCTGTTAAATCCTTGGAGAAAATGGTATTTGATAGCAGATTCAGACTGGTTCTGAAAGCAGCTCGGCCGACATCCACCGATTCATTACACCGGCTGGCTTTCCGGCAGTATGCAACAAGCTCTTGCACTTTCTGGTTCCGCAAGTGTTGGTTGGCATCAAGGGAGTCGCCGGAGAAGATGTTGTTGTTGAGGAACCTGCGGAGGGTCCGCCACCTGGGGCCAACTGGCAGCCATATGGTGGAGTGTTGAGCGTGGTTGTGGGCGGTTAGGGCATCTGGGATATGGCGGGTGGAGAAAGCAAGATCTTGTTTTTGGAGGACTTCTTTGGCGGCAGCGGCCGAGGAGATGACAAGTGTGTTGATCTGACCGAGTCTTAAGAACATGATTGGGCCATGGATTTTGGCTAACTTGGCTAGGGACTGATGTGGTTGGTCCCCGAGCAAGTGGAGGTTTCCGATGATCGGAAATGGGGTTGGACCTGGAGGTAGGTTCTTGGATCGGCCGATGCCAAAAACTGAGAAAGTGGCTTGAATAAGTGCATACAACAAGAAGAAACCAAGAACAATAGTCACAAACTCCATTGATGTTAGATCGTCACCTTTGCTGTGATAGTGGATGCATATCTTGTTTCATATATATATATATATATATATATATATATATATATACACACTTCATATTGACAAATATTAAACTCGAAAATTGCACCAAAATGGAACCAACTTTCACTTTATTTCTATTTTGGGAACTAATTTTTAAAATCGTCATTTTGGGGTTTCTATAAAAAATTTTGTTTATTTAAGGGTCTGGTTGATCTGTTGAACAGGTAACAGGTAATTTAAGGGTCTCTATCAAACTTTTGGTTTGATTTGCCAAATTTGATTTAAACTTTAATATTGATACGGATTGGTTAGAAATAAAAATCTTAAATGTGATATTTAATATTCATTTTTTATTGCATCAATTAATTTTTTTTCTATTAAATTGATTTTTTATTTCATTAGTATAAAATAATTTTTATTGTGGTAATTTAGATTTTTTTTTGAAAAAATTTTCAATTTGATATCTGAATTTAAAAAAAAAAAACGAGATTTGAAATGAAAAATAGATTTTATTGTATTAATTTTTAAAAAAAAACGAATTTTAGTTATTTTTCTAAAATTATTTTGCAAGTTGGTTTTTCAAAATAGGAATCAAGTGAAAGTTAGTTCCATTTTAATGTAATTTTTCCAATATTAAAATATAAACAAATAAATAAACACCCAAATAATTGCTTTTTTGCTTGCCATTAAACATTTCGAATTTATACAAAGAATCAGTGAAAATCGGTTGATTTAGCCAATATTCATTCTTCCGATAAAAAATTATTAATCACATTTGATTTATCGTAAAAAAATCTTGTGTTGTTAAGATTAAAAGGGTATTTTCGTCTGATTTGAATTTTCCAAATTAATGATCGTCACCGGCCACCTTCAATGTCTTGTCCCATGCATTCGTTTTCTTGCTCTCTATCGACATTTTATAAAATATCTAAAAGTTGCACAAAAACCTTTTATGAAGTAAATGAACGTGTCACCGTCAAAAATTAAAGAAATTATAATCTTCCTTTGTCTTTGCTACCATGCAATTAATGTTCTCCACGAATAATATACATCGTGGCTTGGATCCCTCACGAAATGGTTGGGTCCATTTTAATGCAGTTGAGTAAAAATGAGAGCATATTTTTGGATATACAGATCCTTATTGAGCATCGAAACTCATGTTTTTCTTTTTCACGGAGGTTCAAATGCGGTGACTCCGGGCTATCTGTAAAGCAGGTGGTCGACCTGGGATTAGTCGGCTTGCATAGCGGGTTGGATATCCAGGTTAATAAAAAAAATCGGTAGGAGAACGTTTCGCCCTAGAGTGAAGCACTAAAAATAATAAAATATAAATAAATAAGGACCCAAATGATTGTTGCTTGCTATAAATGGCAAAAAAAATATTGCTATTATATTTAAATATAAATAGATAAGGACCTAAATGATTGCTGCTTGCTATAAATGGCAAACAAAAAATATTGCTATTATATTATTTTTTTGGTTAGATGTTTTGTTTTTAACTAGATATAGCCAAAATGACCCAATCCGGTCCACGATCAGAGACCGGTTTACGATCAATTTTGTTTTTAAATAGACGGTTTAAAATTCAAGGCCTGACCAAGATCAATTATGGGACTGGTTATAAAAGGAAAATCTCGAACCATGATCGATTTTTGGCTATTTCTATTTTTAACATCATCAAAAAAAAAACAATTATAATATAATTATTTAAAAAACTTTAACAACAAAGTGAGAAAACCTCGTTTTTTAGACGATATTTATTCTTTCAGTGTTATCGTATTCATTAAGTTTCAGATAAACTTGACACTCGCTCCAACGAACAAAATCTTGTATTATCAAGATCACCAATTTGTTTTAAGATTTCAATTTTGCATAATGTTTCATTGGTCACCTTCAATGTCTCGACCCCTTGCATTCGTCTTCTGTTGCTCTTGACATTTTATAAAATATCTGTAAATTGACCAAACATCATTTATGAAAATAATGGATGTGTCAGAGTCTTAGAAAAAAAAGATGTTATGATCAAATTAAAAACCAAATCAAAATGGATCTAACAAATCCTACATGAGTAGGATGATTAGGATCTATTAATGGTAGAATGTACGTAAATGGAGTGGTTATGCTCAGTAAACAATATGAAAAACTACTGATTAATAAATATCATTAATTAAAAGCATAAAGAGAAATACTAGACAACTAATCAGGATAACTCAGAAAGTATGAAAGCTCTGACCTGGCTAAACTTGCACAAAAGTTACTAAACCACAAGGGTGGTGTCTGATTGGTTTGAGCTTGGCTCCAAAGATCAAAAGTACCAGGAGGTCTCAGGTTCAAATTCAAGGAGGAATAAAAATCTCCTTGTGGCCACGGAGGKTCAAATGCGGTGACTCCGGGCTATCTGCAAAGCAGGTGGTCGCCCTGTGATTAGTCGACTCGCATAGCGGGTTGGATATCCAGGTTAATAAAAAAAATGTCCTATAAACTAATTGTAATACTTTTAGATATGACGCTTTATTTTTTATCCTACAAGACAAACAAGAGTGTTGTAAGCGATTACTGGGTATGCTTTTAGGTAAATGGACCGTTTAAGTGCGATCTCGAGGAGCTAATTAAAAGCCAATTTTTCGCAAATGGAGCAATTGTTATGTACAAGTTCATAAAAGATGGTTTAGTAATGTGAACATCATAGGATCTGTGGCGCAATGGTAGCGCGTCTGACTCCAGATCAGAAGGTTGCGTGTTCGATTCACGTCAGGTTCATTTTTCAGTAACCTTTTTATCAAATATTTTATTTTCCCGTCTTTAAATATTATTTTTAAATTTTGTATTTTTATCTTACATTTTTGATAACTTGTTACCAAGAAAAATAATAATTTATTTTTTTTAATATTATTCTTCACTTTTTATTTCATATTTATTATTGATAATTTAATCAGATTATAATTTAATCTCCGTATTATCATTGATAATTTGATAGTGAAGGCTAATTGCACCTAGGGGTGCTCAAAAATCCGATCAACCCAACAAAAGCCAACATGAAATAACTCAACTCAAAGCAACCCGATGTCTAATCGAGTTGTAAAATTGTCAAACCTTGAGTTACTATTATTTGAACTCAACTCAACCCGATGAACTTGATATCCTTTTATTTCTTGGATTTAATATGATTGTTGAATTTATATTAATATATACATTAGACAATTACACTATCATGTATGCTTTTCATATACACATATTTTTAATCTATTTATATCTCTACATAACTCATTCATATATATGTTCAGTAACTGTGRACAAGGTGATATCTATAATAAAGAATACCTGTCTCAAGGTAAACAGGAGTTCCCGGCTATATATGTAAATTGAGAAAATTAACTGAATGTGATATCCGTAAGAAATATGKATAAGTTGTATCAAATAGTTGATAATGAAAAAGAAATAATGAGTAGAGAAATAACATATTTAAGGTTAGAATAATCTTTTAATATACCAAAGTATCAACTCGACCAACCCGTACGGGTTGGGTTGGGTTAAGATTTTTTTTCTAAACCGCAAGCATTAGGTTGGGTTGTTCAAATGTCTTCAACCATCAACCCAACCCAACCCGTGAGCACCCCTAAGTATTGCTAATGGCACCTTTAATCCCCTATATAATCATTTGTATTTTTGTCTTTTTTGTTGTTCTTATCTTTTGTTTTTTTCTTATTTAAATATTAATTGTCTACCCGTGCAATGCGGCGGGAGCCATGAATTTTAACGATTTTTAAGTTTCACTGGTTTTATTAGAGAAGATTTAACGATTATATAAGTTACCCTTGGTATTTACATATTCACACAATTTGAATAAATAAGAGTTATGGTTCCAATTACAGTCTATCAATGAAAAAAAATTGTATGACAGTTTAAAATCCAACATATTTAAACGACTCCACAAATGTGTTCGATTTACACCAAGAGCAAATAATCAAGAGATCGAGAACAAGATCGAGAGTTCTAGAGCAATTGAATGGGAGATGAATGAGAGAACTTTTAATAACTCATAGTGAATATCAATTTGAATCTCACCTTGGGGATGGGGAGAAGACATAGAGGTATGAGAGGGTGAAGTCATGAGTGAAAGGTGTCAAAAGTATTTTGAGAACATGAAAAGAAAAGGTAATAATGTGCATTGGTAACTTGTACTATATGTTATTTTAATTGTATATTAAGAGATTCTAAAACTGAATGCATAATGTAGTAGTACTTAATGCATTATGAGTTGTTTTTATGTGCATAAATGTATAGTACTTTGTGCATTAAAAATTCTTTTTAAAACTTTTGATAAATCTGGTTTTATAATATAGTGTATATATATATATATATATATA